GCCCATGCATTAGCCTTAGGCGTCATTATGGTCGATCACCTACTTCAGGCATGTTGTAAGTTAAGGGATAAGCATTTAGTATGGGRACAGCTATTAACCCATGCGGTACCCCAACTCACTAAAAAACAACTGAATGAASAGTAATACAATCCAATAATGGCCACTCTTCTAGATCCACTATCGATCACACACAAAACAAAGCAATATCTTATTCTGAGTGAGAGAAAAATATATCTAATCAAGAGGATCGGGCCAAGAAATGACCCCTGCGGTATCCCCAAACGCAAGGGAACAGGGGAAGCGTACTCTGCTAGAGCATGGATAATAAAAGCACTTCCCACATCGTAAGATGTCATCGCTGTCTTCATCCGAAGTTTCACTCTCACTTTCGTTTTCTTCAGCATCATCATCTTCAAGTAGCTCTTCTATTCCCTCCCAATCGTCAAACAACTCATCAATAATCTCCATTTCCAACTAATTAAAACTAAACAATTCTTATCATAGTAACATTTCACTTTGTAAACATTGCGCAACAAGACGCGGCCGTGCCGAAAACTTTCCCGCTCATTTTTTCGTGACGTCACACAATTCCACTAGGTTGCGCCCGTGACGTCACGCGGTTTCCTATCCAGTGATTTTATTATCCATGGCTAGAGCCATTATCTACCACAAAATTAAAAAAAAAACTCAATACTTTTGCTCTCAGATCATCTTTTTATGTATTTATTTTGTCAAGAGGATCGGTAGAAGGATTGATCTTTTCATAATTCAAGTTTTCTATGTTCTCAGGCTATTTTATACCTAACTTGATTTACCAAGAATTGATCTGCAATGCCCCCATTCGWAGTGAAACAAGGAAGAGTACGTAATACGATCTGATAATTGCAGACCTAGACACATCAACATTCATCCAAATGAATCAATTTTCTATTCTGAATGAGAGGAAGAAATGTAKTTTACTTGACATGATTTTTGACAAGAGAAAACAAAACCTTTTAATTAAATTTCACTTTCATCTTTCTTTTAGTTTTACTGTACATGATAATATGTGGTCATTTTCTTAWAGGTTTTCATGTTCCGATTGCGTCATTCAGTTTGCTTTCTGTCATGTGTAAATGCAAAAAGTTCAATTTCCCAAAAAAGTGTCAATCATCTATGGTAGAAATTTTGGTCTTTGGCAAGTCGCTCCTTTCAAAGGAAAGTGTACGATTTCTCGCAAAAAGTAAAAATACGGCCAAGAATATAAGTGCATGAGTTTAGTTACAAAGCTTTTTTTCAAGTTTAATATCAGAAAAAAAAACATGTCTTTCCTGATAAACATTTCTTTGGCAAGTTGATGTTCAAGGAAAGCTGTTCGTGCAAAATAGGCTTAAAAACTATTAGATAGTAACAATTAGCTTTTATGTTATGAATATAGTGTGTTCGCCCTAAATGTATTTCTCCTTAAAAGCCTTATATGCATATGTACATGTGCCTATAAAACGAACCCGAGACAAAATGACTAGAGAATGGATTACTTGAAGATTYGTTAGTCTAATAGAAATCGTTAAAATTCGTTTTTAAAAACATTCGAGTATATTWGATATTATAACTGTTAAAATTCACGTTGGAATTATAACGATATTCCGTTAGTACCGCCCATTTTCGTGGTGAAAGAGATGAGTATTTTTGGAATGGAGTGAGGATACAACGCAGGTGGTCTGGACATTTTCCTCTTAATGGAATATCGTCTGAATGACTGTTTTCATGATCAAAATAAAAAAAAGAATACCAAATCTTTTTTTTTTTTAAATAAATGAAAAAATAAAAAATAAAAAAAAAACGTTCGGATTTATTAACATAGGGTGTAGTTTTAGGAAATTAAAATTGGTTCGTGATCTYAGCGATTGAAGCGGCTTTTTCAAAGAGAATACTACACAAGCTATTTTCAATGTTTGATATTGTCATATTACTGCATATGACGGTTGTAATTTCAATTCTTGTCAGCAAACTTACTTAGATTTAGTGATTGACATCTTGTAATAGAGGTTCTTTTTTCTGTTGAATAATGTCACTACGTACGCGCGCACGCTCAGACCTGACGTGCGCAATGTGACACAACGGCGATCGTTAAATGGAGCTTCAATTTCCGAAACAAAAACAAAATAAGATAAAAACAGTTCATTATATTAGAAATAAATGAAAGTTGGAGAACACGTCACGTCGTCGGAGCTTAAGAGTAGTAACGACTGCCGCATGACAGTCGTGCAAGGAATTTTTTTTCTCAAGAACACCATCTTTCAACGCAGAAGGAGTGGACWTGAATGATTTCTTTCCGTTTTGAACTCCTCAGATYTATTACAGCTAATGACACAAGTGGTTAGTTGTTGTCCAGTTTGAGTATGGTCCAATTGAAGCGACATTAATCATTTATACCGACATACGTAGCCTTTGTGCACTATTTAATTACTTGACATGAAAGCAGATGGGTTACGACCAATCACTTCGTGGTGAATGTTTAATGAAAGCATTTCCCGGCGTGTTGATATTGATCAGTCGTGAACTCAGAATATCATTGCCATGTTTCCAACGGAGAGAGTGACCGTCTTGTTGTTAGGTCTGGCATAAAAGTAAAAAASCTGCGCGCGCTTTAGCTTTGACGCTATAAAGAACGTCATTAGTCATTGCGAAAGTGCTCGGAGATATTATTTACGTAGGCAAGTTGAATYCAGATACCGTCTATTGATATTTTTCTTCGACGCACTCAAAACACTAAATGTTTGTCACCTCTTTCTCCATAGGCATAAAGCGTTCATTGTTCTACAGCTACCAAGGGAACCGTGCTTACTGCTGATTAAAGGGCAAAAACTTGAAATCGTTGACAGCAAATGAAATCCGCGTTGGAAGCTAAAAGGTCCACAGCTTGGTTCTACTAGTCTAAAGAAATATGAATTTACCAAATCAAAGTAGTTTGGCAGGGAACTGYTGTGCCGCAGAAAACTCCAATATCACGTTTGGCACATATCAGCCAACCAGACACGACTGGTTTTGGGTAACGCTGGGACTAATTTGTGTCGTAACAACAATCGGGAATTCCTCAGCCATTTTCCTCATATTATCYAAGCGAGCTTTCAGGAATAAAGTATCCCCCAACTGGTTTATCCTGTCCCTTGGAGTTTCCGATCTGCTGATCGCGACGTTCGACATCCCAGCTACTTTCGTTTGCTCCTTTACGGATATGTGCTCTCGCTATACAGTGTACATATTATACTGTTTTAGGGGCGAGTTTCTAGCTGCATCGACGACTAATGTATGTCTTTTGACATTTGACATTTACTTGGCGGTGTTCCATCCATTTTCGTATCCCAATCTCATGTCCCCAACAAAGAGTCGTGTATTTATCGTATTCTCCTGGATCTTAGCGACAATCTTCAATATTCCACTTTTTACGGAAATATTGGGCCCTCATGGAAACTCCGGCGCCGACATGGCTGACAAGATTATGACCATGGTCTTCTACTCCCTCTCTGGCGCTTTTTTGACTTACGCATTCGTTCGCATAATGTTGGTTGTTAAGAGTCACAAGAAGGATATTGAGAAGCATCAACTACAGATCGAATCGAATGCAAATAGTCGGGTTTCTCTAACGGATCCCCTATCGRCTACTCCAATTGCTCAAGTCAAACGAAGGAATCGAGACGGGACAATAACAGCTACCGGCGTTGTGACAGCGTGTTTTATTGTCTGCAGTTTRATTTGGCAGTATAAGCTATTTGCCCTTATGTTTCATGAGCATGTACCAACGACGGGTGTTGTGATAGACCTTGCAGACTTGGTGATCTATTGYAATTGCACYATGAATTTTATAGTGTATGCATTGCTGAGGAATGATTTGCGCGGGGAATTGGCACGTCATTTTAAAAAGTTATCCAAGAAAGGGAATAATGGCGATGTTATTCTCAGCCAAATGACACAAGGTGGAGGAAATAGACGGACGGGCACGCTTTTTCTCCCGTCGACTAAAGATGACTTGAATAGCAATGATATCTAGACATTCATCAGGATCAATCATTGAATGGTGGCCCGCGGGTGTTTGATTTCTAGTCAGCGGGTACAGCAATTATCTTTATCTATAAAATAAAGCAATTTTGGGTGAAATAGACTTCAAATGACTTTGTACTCAGGGCAACGAGAAAACTTYTAACTTTTTGGTAGTTATAGTATTGACATTATGATGTATATCAATTGACTACTATCAATCAAAGTATATAAATTGGGATTTATCATGTCCACTATCCAAGCTTTTGTAGTATTTGTACTGTAGTTTTGGTCTTTGTTGTGGCTTAGCAGGATGTACCGTATTTTGGAAACGCAATGAAATATTAAGGAAATATGTMATGTAATTCAATGTGAAAAATATAATGTGATTGAAAGGAGATCTGACAGGGAATCCGATATTCATTTGCATATTGCTCCAGGTCATGTTTTAGAGTGCGGTTTCTGTACTAAAAGCATAATGTAGTTAATTGTAGTTTTCTTGTTTCTTAAAAAGGAACCTAGGTAAAAAAAATACTCGAGTTAACACGCGGTTTTTTGGGGTATAGTGCAGCACTTGACTTAAAAAAAGACTCTTTTCACTTGACTTGAAAACACTGTTCATTGTAATTCTTGTTATTGGTAGCCTTTTTTGCTATTTATGTTATCTTATCKATGTTTTATTAGGCGTAAAAACATATTTTCCGGGTTGTGTCATGTTATTATGCGATTGATATTCAATCATGCATATGTAAAAATAAAAACTGAAGAAATCTTGATCTCAGTAGTCAGAGTATAGTTATTATTAAAATTTTAAATTCGTTGGTAAATTGCTTGTCGATTGTTTAACAACATCAGGAAATTAAAAAATCAATATATATATAATAATAGTAGTARTAATAATAATAATAATAATCATAACTTTATAATGATTATTTGAGCAAGAATGACAATTGATTGACAGGCGTGGAAACATGCGAAGGAAATCTCAGGAAAGGTTTTAACACAAGAGCATATTTACAAGTTCCCGGATATTTTTGAAACTCTAAAGTTCTTCATGCGTTTAGCGGGCCTATGGTTTACATGAAACCAACGAAAACAATGGCCATAACCCGGATATTTTTGAAAGTAAAAACGATGATCGCTTTAGAATAAACGCTCACAAGGCCATACAGTTTTAACAAATAATTCGGATTTGTGTGAACTTATCCTAAGCAATCAGGGTACTTTTTTCAGCACATGATGCTTCATAATTTTTCATTTAACCAGATTTAACGGATCAGCCTCGGCAGGCCTTCCTTTACGGCTTTCTTTTTAGAAGTTAYGGTCCGTCAAGAGGGTAATTCAGTATCGCCGAAATAAAGCGCATTCTCGACCAATCGAAATGCGAGTAAGAAGAAATCCTGATTTAAAGTAATGATTGTAATGATAAGATAATGATAAAGAAAATAGCAATAATTGAATATCAGACTGAAAAAAATTTAGTCTTTCTAAGAATTCAAATTTTGGAATKAAAAAAGAAGAAGAAAAAATACGAGCCTAGTTACACAGAGTTATACAAGCCGAGTCACACGGATTGTCGCATGCGACTTGTAGTATACGACTCAATAAGCTCCGAATCTCGTCGTGTGAATGCCCCTACATGCCTACAGTTCAGTCGTACGCATGCAACCTACAGCTTATAGTAATTTGCTGATCACGGCTCAACTGAATCTTTTTAAAGTCTTKTCGTAGGAAAATSGTATACTACAAGTTTCCCTGACACGACTATCCCAGCCGTGTAAATCCGCCTATAGAAAATCAGAAATCTGACTACAATTGTAGATATCGCGTGTTACACCACCCTTATCACGGCAATTCACATGAATATACCACGGTGTTTGAATAAATCTGTACAAAACTTTTAAAATTGCAGGGCTTTCCTTTTCCTTTTTTTTGATGGGGAAGAGGGAAGAATCTTCTTTTACTTATCTTTGGAGAATCCCAAAGTAAACTGAAAATTATCACAGCAATGTCCTCTAAGGAAAAAATTAAAAAGCAATCATTTAAACTTAATCACGAAGAAATATTTCCAGCAGCGCTTGATGTGTAATTATTACACAATTATAGTCAAAGAGAACAAAGACAAGAAAAAAGGTGTCTGCAAATGAGTTTTGCAGGTGTAGCTTGAATACTCCAGTTTCGAATTAATAGCGAAAAACCCCTGCTTTATTTGACAACAGATTCTCTTGCGCAAAGACCTGACCAAACACAAAAGTGAGCACGAGAAAATGTTATTACAATAGCCTTGAAAATTTGCACAGTTTTCCCCGAATTGAGACTAACCCTGTATTCCCATAAGACCTAAGGTATGAGACTTCTGGGAATACAGGGTTAGCACCAACTCGGGGAAAATGCAAATTGTTAGCGTTATTGTACAAACAACATTTTCTCGTGCTCTCTTTTGTGTTTGGTATGTTCTTTGCGTAAGAGATTCTGCTGTTAAATAGAAMAGCGGTTATTAGCTTTGAATTCGAAAATGGAGTATTATAAATTGAAGTTGCCTCTCGTGATGTGAAAGAACGTCAACAACAAAAACGTCATTTGYGTTAAACGTTTAAATTCCAAAACTCAAGATAAATAATACAATATAGAATATACCAAGAATAAATAAACACACTATTTATAAACTACATATAAAGGTTCGACAACCAACACCGTTGTTTAACAAAAAACGGCAACAATTAGACATAGCAAATCTTTAACACAACAACAACAACAGCAACAACAACAACAACTACAACAGCAGCATCAATAACACAACAGCAACAAAATCACCACCACCACCACCCCAAAAGCATCATCAACAACAACAACAGCAGCAACATAACAACAACGGCAGCAGCAACAACAACAACAAAGAATGAGTAGTGGGAATTTTGCATCATTTAGACGGACAAACCAAGATGTTTTATTTAAAGTAATTACAGCTTACAGATAATGCTAMAAACAAATTATCAGATTAAGGAAAAGTCGCCTTTGGAATCTTGAATTCTTATTAAACCCTTCGCATTAAGGCCCATATTTCAATTTTATCATCTCAACATTCATTTTAACCACTCGGACATGATAAAAGCGTCTTTTGGGGATTTTGGTTAATTTATGGCTTTTGAAAAAGAAACTGGGTTTTATCAAAAATACCTATTTAATGATACGGGCAACTTGCACTGTGGGATAGCCAAAGGGCATTAGCCCCAATTCATAATTGAATAAAAAATAAAAAATGTCACCTCATTCTATCCCATGAATTAATAACGAATATTTCACCTTGCGAATTGTAATTACAGAAGTATTTTTTAATGACTTTATGATTGTTTTGATTCCACRGCACTGAATAATATATGACATCAAATATTTTTACTCATTTTCTTCCAACATCTGAAAAGTGAAACTGAAGCTAGCATCAGTTCCACCCACTTAAGTGTTAAGTTAATCCATGTACGAACTGCTACTCAGATATTGATTAAGAAGAAAGCACTTGCTGCCATTAAATTGTGGGATTGAAGAATATATCAGTGTTAAAAGTATGGGTTTACTTAACAAATACCCCTGCCAWAAATCTCATCAATTCGCAACGAAAAGAKTAGAAGTTGACACCGGCACGTAGTATAAAATGTCTTAAATCTATCTCGATGTTATGAAACAAAGCAATATACTATTGCTGGAGGCCATGCCCACGCGAAAACACTTTTTAAAAGACCAGGCTGTAGTATGTGTTATATTTGGGGCGTAATCACCCTTACGGTACACTGTTATTTTCGTAAGCGATTCGACTGAAAAGTATCGCGAAAGAGTATCTACATACATACGTACGTACGAGATTTAATTCAATATTCGAAATATATTCATTGAACGTAAAAGACGTAAGGTGCTATATTTGGGGCGTAATCACCCTTACGGTACGTCTCGTAAACGATTCGACTGAAAAGTATCGCGAAAGAGTATCTACATATATACGTACGATTAAGATTTAATTCAATATTCAAAACATTTTCATTAAAAGTAAAAGACGTCAGTCCAGTCGTTTCCAAGTAATTATTAACCGTTTGGAAAGTAGCTCCTTTAGTCTCATGAGCAAGATACTCTTCATGGATAAATGCAAAGTAGATTAWTGTGAATACTAGGATGGTTTTAACAAAAGCTTTAGTGAATAAYATAAGTACAGGTAGATTCTGATCAATATCACGACTGTAATTTGTTTCTTTCGGCACGATTCCCTAGAGCGATCGCTCTATGAACACCACAAAATGAACAAATTTGCGAGCTAAATGATTAAAAGTATGGCGAATTTGGATACCTTTAGGATTTCGAAACCATTATTAATTAAAAATAAAATATGATTTGCTCTCTATGCTTTTTTACAGCACACTGTGTTCTAGAGAAAAGAAGATATTGTTTGATTTAGATATATAAAGCTGAGAAATACGAGGTACAAAACTACTCGACTTAGTCGTACAATATGATTGTTTCTGATCCAGTTTGGCATCAATGTTCTTAGTTTTTCACCTTGCCAAGCACTGGTAACTCGTCGCGCGACAAAAAAAAAAAAAAAAAAAAAAAAAAAAAAAAAAAAAAAAGTTAAAGTAAACAGTGACGCTAAACTTGAACAGTCACAATATTTCGTCTCGTATTTCTAAGACTTTAGTAAAGAGAGGAAGCCGAAAGAAACGTTGTCAAAAAGGATGAGTTTTTCTTTGTATAATGTTTGTAACACGAGCCTCAGAGGATATTAAGCTAAAATAAACTGATATTTTTGTTGTAACAGATCAAGCTAATTGCTTAATAGTTTGCCGGTAAATATAAGCCGATGAGGACGTTAATTTCATAATGAAATATAAAGAAAGCTTTTGTTTCACATGTTTTAAAAGGATCAAGTTTTGTTTGAAAAGTGAAAGGAAAACCTTTGTGTGTAAAAAAAACCGGACTTTACTTTGTCCTGCGAGCGGTAACATGTCCTTTCAGTTCACAATTCAAACAAAGAGCAGAGAATTTTCATTTTGAATTTTCATTAGTCAGCAGGATGATTAAATTGTTAAAAGGACAGGCATTGTTGTATTAAAAATTCTGACGGAAAATAAGTTAAGCATTTTAGCTTTGATGCAAACTTGAAACAAAGATTMTAATAATAAATAATAATATACTATGTAAAGCTTCGATAACGCTTATATAGCTTTCTCTAATCGCTTTAAAAGTTAAAAAATTAAAGTATAAAGTTGAAATAGAGATTAACGATGAAATATAGTTAGTCAGAGATCATAGATTTGTTTAAATATATAACTAAGTTTTAACAGCATCTTTGGAATTATCAGCATGAATATGACTCGGAAAGCTTCTTTAGTTTAAAAGGACTGGCATTGTAACAATATTTACCGATATCATAACTAAATTGAACATCCTAGCTTTACATTAATTTAAACAAAGAATACAGGAGAAGTTTTTATCTAAGAAACTTTTCTTTGTAACGTAAGTGGGGCCTTTTATCGGAGCCTAAGGTAACACCGTGGCTTGAGTTCAATTCAAAGGCTCACATAAGAGCACAGCAGGAGTGAGGAACTCGTGCAGGGATGCCCTGTTTAACAGCTTTTAGAAAGATTAGAAAAGAAAAGATAAAAACTTCCTTATTAGTCTGAAGGCTGATGTTTTCGATCAAAAAGATAACCACTTCATTTTAAAGCTTATAAAAGCCTGAGGGCTTTACTTCATAGCTCTTGGAAAAGAGGACATTAWGCATGCCGTAACCCTGAC